ACTACCTGGGGCATACTTCCTTGGGCTGGTGTAGGCGTGTGTACCCATCCAAGTGCCAGCACAGTTTCAATTAATTCTTAACATACCTGGCAAAGGGAAGAATGTCTAAAAAAAAGTACATCTGTCGTCGTTTGCTTTTGAAGTTGGATTGAATTTCAGGTCAGCGCTAAAAAAAAAAACCCAACACCACAGAATCTTAGAGTTCATTTGCGGGCAAAGTGGCAATATGAATGCTTTTAGAGACTGTTTTATGTACGTGTTATCTGCCATTCGTATATGCATTTATTTCATTTGAGCATGAGCATAATTTAGTTAATTCTGAGCCCCATTTTGCATAGGAAATAAACAGAAAAACAATTTACTAGCCGAGTGTTTCTCAAGAGATCCAGATGCTTTAAGTGGAGTCCAGGAGTGTCATTTTTAAGACGACTAATGGTTTGAAAACTAGAAAGAAGGAAGCTCCGTAGGGCATGGCTTATGCTACCAGGCTCTGCTCTACTGCATGGTTTTGTTGTTAGTTGTTTGCATTTTGTTGCATCTTATGTAAGCTTTATCACAGAAGAGGGTTTCTCAAAATGGATTAATTTTGCCAACAAGCACTGACGGAGAGGCACAATGCTGAATGAAGATATACTAATTAGCAAATGTACTAATTTTACAGCAGCTGAATTTAAATTGTTTGTAATTTACTGCAGCGGGTCAAACGGGCAGTTTGCCATGCCAAATATGAATATTATGTTTGTAGCTTACTTCTGTCAGGAGGCCACCTACTGCACCTGTGAAGGAAGGGTAGATTTAACTCTGCCACGTGAGGGGCAATTCTCTACTGAACCAAGATCGAATAGCATGTGGTGTGATCGTCCTGTCTTATCCTGCAGATGATGTTGGTCATTTAAACATCTAGTTCTCTGACCCCCCTAGATGTCTGCTCCCTGGCTATCCTGGATGGAAAGCACTATTTCCTTCACACCTTCTGTTCACACAGTATCTTCTTCCATTTGCTTTCGCTGGCTGTAAAAATCAGCTAGTGAGACCTGGTTGTCATAGGATAGTACAACTTAAATGCAGTATATGAAACTGTCAGGTGAAAAAGCAGTCAAAATATGCTGCAAATCTCCTTTGCCTAATTCATATGTTACAGTACTGGAGATGTGAGTTATCTTTAAAGCTTCTTTTAAATGTGTTGGGCATATTATCAGAATATAACTGCAATGTCGGCATATTTTACAATAACCTCTAGCAATCAGTTTTATAAAGAATTGCTTTTGTTAAAGAAATACCCTATTTTAAAAAAGAAATTATAATCAGATGATGGATAAAATTTTTAGGTGAACGTCATATAGAATGGTAATGTTTAAAATGACACAGGTGAGTTTACAATTCTGTAGACGTTTACAATTGTGACAGCAATTCATATACCATGTTTGTATAATCTTTCATGTCTATAAAATACATTATAAATATTTACTGTTAAGGGCTAAGTGAAAGCATGGAATATGATCCTTGTTAGCTGCTACCAGCAATTCTTCTGTGCTATGGAGTGTGTTTAAATGCCACAAAACCAGAGAAGGTGTTTCTACTCCAACTACATAAATCAAGGACCTGTTTCTACTTTTACTAATGCTACTGGGCATCTGGCATAATGCTGTTTGACTCGGGAGGTTATGGTGGCTTTGTATTAGTGTAAAAAAGGCATAGTCATGATGTATTTGATAATACATCATCAATACATCAGTAATGATACACTAATGATGTATTTGTGTAAAAATGAGTGCCGTGTGTGTTAGATGAGGACATGAAAATTGGCTGGCTTGGATTATTAATGCTATACACAACTGAGAAGATTCCCAGAAGTCTGAGAGAGTATGTTGGTGATCATTGAGTGTTTGGCAAGGTCTCAAATGAATGCTGTAAATATGACATATAACTCTGATGATAAAAATGACTGAGCCCAAGCACTGTGCTGTGTATCGATACAGAGCGCAACCAGCCGCAGTGAGGCAACGTGCTCTGTGGAAAGAGAATAATGTATTTATGAAGAAGGCACAGTGATATGGGTAATGCTGGAGAGACAGGGACGGGGGGCTTGGTTTTTAAGCTCTGCAGAGAGGCAAATGACTGTTCCTTGCCTCTGCTGGCAGGTACTGCGCCTTGCGTTGCGGTTTTACCGCTGTTATTTTTCTGTTCTTTAAAGCTCTTCCTAAAGCATTGCAGGGGAGGGAGGGAGGGAGGGGGTTCAAAGGTCTATTTTGCCAAAGTTGGTGCTGAAAAAAAAGACCAGTTGTGTAATGGTTTTAGCTGGATTTGCGCTGTTACGTAAATGGCCAAAGCATTAGGAACATGAACGCAGGCCCCGTGTCTTCTGCGCTGGTGGAAATACTGGGGAGGATGTTGGGTTTATAGGATTTACAGAGAAAACAAAATTTTAGCTGGAATGCCAAAATCGGCGTCCTTTCAGCCAATTCCCTGGAAGTGTGTTCTGGCCAATGTAATGTTCAGAAATATATAGGGGACTCTAATGTTTCTCAATTAAAGTTGAATCTGTCTGCTCTATGGGGCATTAGGGACTATTCTCTTATCAGTTTTACGCAGTGTGAAGAACCTGCAGCAGAGAGGTAAGACATGAAGACATGGAGATGCTTTTTCATAGAACTATATAGGCCTTTGAATAGAATGAACTCCAAGGTGTCTTTTTTTCAAAAAATGAGTTCAGAGGGGTATCTGCAAAGTATTGTACTAGGTACAGTGAACCTGTACATAAATAGGTTCTGTTACTGAGCTTCTTTTAGACCTGGAAGTCAGGTCCTGGACTTCATTTTGTCGTCAGCCAAATTCCACTTGTGCTGAATGGTTTAGGAAACTTCTCTGCTAGGAAAATGTCTAAAGACTTGTTTGCAATAATGTAGGCATTTTAAGAAGTGCCCATATATGTGTATATAAACCCACAGGCGTTAGAAGATATGTTTTTTAATTCTCCATAAGCAACGCTTATCAAAAAGCTACGTGCTCATAATTTGGCTGAAGCACCATTAATAGCAATTTTAGGGTCTCATCCCACTCTATTTTATATGGGAGTAGTTCCACTGAGAGCAAGAGAATGACAGAGCTATGAGACCAGAGGGGGCCCCCGTGAAATAAGACCATTGCAATCTTGCTATGTCCAGGCACAGACAGCAGGGCTGAGGAGAAAGGAGACTCAGTGAAATCAATCTTTTTGGTCATCTTTGTATTCTGCCAGAAGGCATAAAACCGGCATAACCAGGGCTTCTGCTTTCTAATTGTAATTTGTGCTCCTTTGGTCACTGTTACAATGTTATAACCTTTATTGTCTTTCTACGTTGTGCATGTGATTGAGTCAGTTTATGTGACTCCAGGTTTCTAGAAATGTGGTACCCTGGTCTGAGTCGCTCCCTGCAGTTGGCCTTTCTGACTTGGTGAAAGCAGAGACAAGAACCTTCATGGAACGAGGCGTTTCACATAGCAGTTTTAGAACTGTTTGGGTCAGTAGGCTGTCAGATATTTTGCGGTTTAGGACTGTAAAATCAAAGTATTTGCATTGAGAAAAATTAATTGTCGATAGATCATTGTCTGAAAGAATAGAGCGTTACTTGGGGTCTGCCTTCTAACCTGTGGTTTGTAAAACAGAGTCCTCAGCAGAGAACTTTCAGCAGGAGGTACTGGTAGGTCTACAAGGAGGCGACATAAAATGCGATGTGCAAATGGTTAATCTTCTCTTATTTCCCCTCCTGCCTCCACAAGGTTATATTGCTTTCATATAACTTTAAGAAGAAAATACTCTGCTTCAGGAATTAGGCAGTGAGATTTTTTTTATTAATCTCCAGTGTATTTTGGTAGACATTTGCACAATCTTACAGATTTTGTTCAAAGGAGAAGTAGAACCAGTGGAATTGCATTTCTGAATTTTTCATGATCGTTTCTTCAGTTCTCGTCTGCCAACGCACACCACAGGGTACAAGACTGATTGTAACGTGCTCTCTTTTTGTTACTAGGTCAGTACTTCTAATTGTGAGCTTGTCTGCGTCACTGGGAGTATCAGATCATTTACTCGGAAGGAAGCCTCTGACATGCTCAGAGTTGGTTTACTCAGCAAAAAGGCATCAGTGCAGAAAAGCTTATTGATTACCCTGAGAATGCAACTTAACTGTACTGAAGGGTCTCTGTGGGTCAGAGCACACATTCTGGATCAGTAAATTAAGATGATTCTGTGTTTGAATGTGTATACTGTATGTGAAATAAGTTACTCCTAAAAGAAGTCAGTGCTATTAAGAAAGTGTATTCACTCTCTAGATTTTTTCATCTTTCCTTCCCTGTCTCTCCTAAAAATTTATTCCTTTAAAGAAATTTTTAAAAAGTAAAATTGTAACATATGGAAACAAATTTGATTAATTTTGTCTAATTTGAAATATCAACAAGTAATTTTGAAATGTGTCTTTTAAAGGTACCGAATATGTATATGCACGGAATAGCAGAGTTTGTGACCTTTTTTCTGTGCTTTAGGCAGCAGATTTGGCTCCCAAGTCAGTGTCTGCTGTGAGAATGCTTACTTAGTGTAAATTTACAGAAAATGTATCAAACAGGTATTCAACAAATCACTGCATTCTGCTTTTAAAAGGCTTGCGCTGACCCCCTCAGGGGATGTTTTCTGCAGGGGGGAGAGACGCAGTGAAGGGGGGTTGCTCTGGGGAGCGTTCTGCTTGCATTAGGATTAAACTGCACTTGGGGAAACTGCCTGTCATTTGTTTTGTGCTACAGCTGTTACATTTCTTAACCTTTGCTCTGGGGAGCGTTCCGCTTGCATTAGGATTAAACTGCACTTGGGGAAACTGCCTGTCATTTGTTTTGTGCTACAGCTGTTACATTTCTTAACCTTCCAGTGAATGGGATTTTAAGGTGTGGAAAATAAGGGGAAAGGAAATTAATTATGGGGATTCTAACCTCTCATTTTTAGTACTTATTTCTATTCTATTTTTCATTTCCAGTTACAAGAAAACGCACGAGACCCTGAGCCATGCAGGACAAAAGGCAACAGCAGCTATCAGCAATGTAGGAACTGCTATCAGCAAGAAGTTCGGGGATATGAGGTACAAGGATCTACTGCTTCTCTGGTTTTATTTTGAGGACAAAAAATATAAGTCATCTGTTAGCTCTTCCTTCTGCATTAATGTTTTAAAGGCCCAAGTACTTTGTAGTCAGAGTATTTTATAATATTCATGGTTTCAGCCAAAAAGAAGGGATAACAATGAATGAAGATGTAATTATTATTTGAGTTCTGGTTTAAAAAAAACCCCCACCAACTTCAATTTGAAATCCTTTTGGAATAACTTGGCAAGCTTAAGGAAATGTACAAGTAAAATGGAAGAAAAAATTGCTATTAGATCTTTACTATCCCAATTTTATTCATACATAGATTCTGGAGGCCTACATCATCTGAAGAATACAAGCCTGCCTTGGAGCCTCTTGTGGAATGAGAAATGAAAATACTATTTCAGGCTATGTTTTATCAGCTTTTTCAAGATGTACAAAGGCCAAGTATGAATGAAAGGCAGTTGTATGAATGAAAAACTTATGATGAAAGTAGCAGGAGTTGAGGTCAGGAGGACTGTCACTTAGATGCAGCTTAAACATCAGGCTTTATACAATGATGTGTGTTTAAAAGTGTTGGTCTTAAAGTTCCTCAGAATGAGAGCAGGAATGAACAAAGTGTACCCTGTAAGCCAACCACTTCAGTTTTCAACTTGGTGGCAGGATTACAGAACTTCTTCTCAGGTGTTTTAGGGAGTTGATTTTTTGTGATGAAATAAATGGATAAGTGTAAGTCTACAATATATTGCTTGAGCTGCAGAATTAGAGTCTCATTTATTAGAGATATTGGTATGCATTCGCTTTTTTGGTCATTTTGTAATGTTTGAGGTAGCTATATTCTAAGATCTATAGGAGTCATTTTATAGTATTTCAAGTATATATGGGGGATTTTGCTGCAAATGGCTGAAGCATAGCTCTTGGCAGCTAAAACTTATTTTTCCATTTTTTTACTTCTAATCTGAATCTTAAAAAATCTGTAGAGTCCCTCCTTTATACCTTTATACATACAGCTTAGTAAACCCTCTACAGAAGTACTGCTGTTTTTCTAGGTGAAGCTAAAAAAGGAAAATCTTCATCACTGTATGATCTACTACTTTACAATGTCTTTTTAAGCATTGCAGTTTAAAATGGAAATTCTGAGCGAGTGAGTTGCAACCAGGATATGACCATAAACTAAGAATTGTTTGACTCAATAGTTAAACATCCATAGGCAGCGTATCCCCAGAAAAGGGTGTCAGAATAAGGAGGTGTGGGAGTTCCACTTTCCTACTACGTTTTTTTTTTTAGCATTCAGCAAACTGAGAGCTGAAAACTTTCTAAAACAGAGGTTTGAGCTATCATTTAAAAGTCTTTGAAGGGTTTGCTTCATTAATTAATTAATTTATTTAAATAATTCATTTTAACATGTGTGATCTTTTGACATCCCTAACGCCTCATGTCTCCCAAGACGAACAGATAGTTATGTGGTAAAGAACTGTACAGTTTATTTGTTTGTTCATTCATTCCCTGTTCCGAGTCTCCCTGGCCTTTCCGTCGATGCCTTCTGGCTCTTGTGATGAGGAACAGTGGGTGTAGTCCTTCTGCTGTCCTTCGTTTCATTCCTGGCTTCCTGTGCTTTTATCGTATTTCGCTTCGGTTCCCTCTTTTCCAGGCTCAGGTTCCAGTTAGATGAGTTGCTTTCAGAAGCCTTTTCCTTACTTTAGTTTCTGCCTTCACAGAATCACAGAATCGTAGTGGTTGGAAGGGACCTCAGAGATCGAGTCCAACCACAAAAAAAAAAAAAAAAAAAAACAAAAACCAAAAAAACCCACAAAAAACACAAACCACCACCCACCACCTAAACACACAACAACAACCACCAAACCAAAAACCATCACCCACCCACACAGCACCCCACCACAAACCAATAATCTTGGGCACTAGAGCATGCCCTGAAGAACCATGTCTACACGTTTCTTAAATACCTCCAGGGATGGTGACTCCACCACCTCCCTGGGCAGCCCATTCCAATGCTGGATAACCCTTTCAGTAAAGAAATGGTTCCTAATATCCAACCTGAACTTCCCCTGGCGCAACTTGAAGCCATTACCCCTTGTCCTGACATCTGTAACTTGGGAGAAGAGACCGACCCCCGTCTCTCTACACCCTCCTTTCAGGTACTTGTACAGAGCGAGAAGGTCTCCCCTCAGTCTCCTCTTCCCCAGACTGAACACCCCCAGCTCCCTCAGCCTCTCCTCGTAAGACTTGTGCTCCAGACCCCTCACCAGCTTCGTTGCCCTTCTCTGGACCCGCTCCAGCACCTCAATGTCCCTCTTGTGGTAGGGGGCCCAAAACTGGACACAGTACTCGAGGTGGGGTCTCACCAGTGCCCAGTACAGGGGGACAATCACCTCTCGGGCTCTACTCGCCACACTGTTCTTGATACAGGCCAGGATGCTGTTGGCTTTCTTGGCCACCTGGGCACACTGCTGGCTCATGTTCAGCCGACAGTCAACCAACACCCCCAGGTCCTTTGCTGCCAGGCAGCTCTCTGCCTTCGTAGCTGTATTCTGGATTGTTTTAGAAATCCACGAGGCACGTGTGCTGCCCGTGGCACCAGCATGTCCTCTGTTTCATTTTCTGTTCCTTCCTAACACTTCCTGCTGTAACAAAGCCCAGCCCAGCGGGCAGGTCCTGTTGGTGCTTCCACGCTGCAGGTCCTGCAGCAGAGACCAGAGAGTCGGGGCGCAGATACCTTGAATGCCCTGGATCCCAGGGGAAGGATGCCTCTGACAGCTCAGTGCTGCTCAGGTCCTGTTGCTTGTGCTTTGCGAAGGGTGTGAGATTCACTGCAAAGGCAGAAATGCCTTCACTGTATCCCAGCGTGTTTCTCCTTTAGTACTTCCTTTGATTAATCATTGTTACCAAATCCCTTTGTTTGATGAGGCTGCTGAGCAGGGCTTGGGCAGCAGATGGGTGGTGTTTATCCCTTTAGCCGGGGGCTGGAAGCAGAGGCTGCCCATAAGCATGTTGATTGATCGGGAGTCTCGTTTCTAGTAGCTTTCTTTGATCAAAATGATTACCTGGAACCTGGTTGGGAATTTTTCAGGAAAATCTGAACTACCAGCACTGCTGTATTTTGTGGATGCTTCCTGTTTTCAGTTAAGTTCTCAGACAGAGCTTTCCTGGGGCTCAATGATGGCATGACTTGGGCCTCCTGCATCTGCTGAACGTCCTGAGCCTGGAGCAGTGGTCAGTGGGCTTCCCTCGGCAGCAGAGCTGGCCTAAGACCTTGGCTCAGGTTGGACAGATGCAGTTCGGGGCCGGGGGGAGGGTCACACTGTAAACCTTATCAATTAAATGACCTGCTTTAAAAATCTTCCCCTCTCCCACTCCAGTGCCAGGCCTGTGCGTGGCAGTAAGCTGTAAGGGGGCACGCCTTCTTTGTTTCATTGTTTGCTTGCTTTTTTGCTCATCCGAGTCATTTTATTTCTGTGATCTAGTAGATGGATTATCACCACCCCCTCCCATGATGCTGATTTAAACACACACCGGGCTCTGGCTTAATTCTCTTGGTTAGGCATTAAGGGTGATAGTCACCAGTGACATCCAGATGCAAATCCCTGTGCTGCTTTCATTCAGAGCAGACACTCAAATTTCTAAAATCCAGATGGTCGTCGTAATTCCCAGTATGTTCAGCAGGCTGCTGTGTTTGGCCTTTGCCCCCTGACTGTGCCCATGGGGATTTTCAAAGCACTCGTAGTCAACCTGACTCTAAATATTGAAGCCTGCCTTCTTCATGAAACACAATTCTGCTTCCCAGGTTGCTTGCTATGTCAACTCTACCACATGGGGCATGGATTTCTGTTCTGAACATGCAGGGTCTTAATTTTCACCTTGTATTCTCTCTAAAAATATTACTAAAGTATCATATATCAGCAACAGGCCAGATTGTGGTGGCTGAATGTACCATTTTGCTGTGTTAGAATTCAAGGCGATGAAGAAAGAAAAATGACAAAATTCTGTGTGTCCCAAAGAACAGAGGAGCCAATCTTTGGGGAAAAAATGCTTTTCATGCAGCCGCCGTGCTTCTCTTTTATCCCTACCGCAGCTTCCCGGCGTCACAACTCTCTAATTCGTTTTGTGCATGAATAATCAGCAGTGTTTTACACCTTCTAAATTTTGTATTAATTATTAGTGCTTGTGAGGTCTCATTACGGTTGTAATGCATTCTATTTAATATCATCCTGTTACTAGAAATACCAGAAACGCGTATAAAAACAGTGTACAGATACTTCTGCTTTAGCATACAAACCAGGCACTGGTAATATAGCTAAGGTAATAGACTCTGCCTGAATAGCTCTTGTGATTAATGATATCCCAGCAGGATTTTCTGTCACCCCTCCACTCCCAGCTCGTATTGTCTCCTTTAACATTTTCTGCTGTAGAGAAAGAAGGCAAAGGGGAAGAGGGGAGCCCCAGATGACTCATGGCCTCAGGTCTCTCAGCAGTAGAGCTCACACTAACGTTACAAGGTGGCCCTTGCCATGTAGGCCACAGATGTGACACGGAGCTGAGGGTCTTTATCCCTTGCTCCTTTGCATACTGGTAACGCTTGGATTTTTTCATGCAGCACTGCTGGACGACTCTCCAGCTGCCTGTGTGGATCTCAGAGTCTCATCCCCACTGATGGCCTTTTTAGTAATAAGTTGTGATACCAACAGGGAGACTTTCCGATTTTTTTGTTTGCTTTAAAAAAAAAATCATAAAAATATAAAACTACGTATACTACACTACTGCGTGCACACTGCCACATATATTACTACTACGCAAGAAAATGTATTTAAAGGTTAGGCTAACAAAGGCATGCATGTAAATTAGGATGTCAGCAGCTATACTGCTTATACATCCTTCATTCAGCTGTCTTGTACATTCTCTTTAATTACACGATAGCACAGACCCCTTTCACATTCAGTGCCTGGGATGAGCCAGCTCTAAAGATGAATAAAGATAATATAATGCCTCATTCCTGCCAGGAGCTGGAAAACGTGTGTGGAAAGAGACAGAAGATTTCAGGGAGGAAGAGTTTGGGAGCAGGAGTGTGGCAGCAGAATGTGTCCCTCAGAGATGATGGGAGTTAGCGCAGAGGCACATGAGGTCCCAGGGAGGTGGAGGAAGAAAACGTTCATCCCTCTGGAAAGAGGTTCTGGGAAGTTCTGGGAAATACAAAGCAGATACTGGGGGAATGTATTAACCTGTTAGTGTCTAGAAGATAGCGGGATTACAAAAACATTAAAGGGTTTAAAGAACAATTATGTTGAACTGACAGCACTTGTCATAGAGGACGGAGGGGAGGCGGGAGATGTGATAGAGCTTGACTGTGGTAAAGTCTGTCCATACTGTTTTCACTCCTGCCAGTGAACTAGAGAGACAGAGTTTAGGTGTGACTGATTTAGCAGGAAGAGGACAATAGGGAGTTGAAAATTATTTTCAAAGACCGGGTCTCAGTAGCTCACCACAATGCTGGAATTTGTGGGCATCTGTCCCGAGTCTGTTACTCTTCAGATTCAGGATTGCTCTGCTGGGCTCTCATGAGGGCTCGGCTGAAGTATTCAGGCCAGTGCAAGGAGGGCACTGCCCTCAGAAGGGTGTGCAGATGAACTGGAAGGAATGGGGAGAAAAATTAAAAAAATTAAAAATCAGCTTCAGAAAATACAGCCAGTTGAGAGTGTTTGAATGAGCTGGCTTTTAGGCTGAATAATGAAAGGAGAGGGAGGAGGTAGTGAGGTAACGTGAGAGGTCAGGAAAAGCGTTCAGCTATAAATCTGAACAGGGGCACAGGTGATTTCTGAAGGCTGTGGAATCTCTTTCACTGGAGGTTTTTAGAAGCAGGTTAGGCCAATGTCTGTTGGAGATGGCTGAGGTATAATTCATCCGCTTTAGTGCTGCGGGAGCTGACTTTTGCTGCGCCTTTATTGTTGTGCCTTTTGAGGGGTTTTGTTGTGGTGGTGGAGCGTTGCACAACCTTTTGCTGTGCGTTTTATGGGATTTCCATGATCTGGGGATGTTCTGGGCACTTTAAACTGTTGCTGTTTCTGGGATTTCCATGATTGGGGATGTTCTGGGCACTTTAAACTGTTGCTGAACTCATTGGGAGCTGAATTCCTTGACATACTGTAGCTGTCATATCCAAAGCTACCGTTCTTAAACCTCTGTGTCTCTGATATCCCCTACACAGGAAATAGTAATATATTCCCTCGCTTCAGAGTGTAATTCCATAGGCATTTCTTTTGCTGATCAGTGAAGCAGTTGTTTCTTCTCATTTCTACTGACACTCACCCCTTCGTTTGTGCTGGTTTTCAGAGTTCCACAGTCACAGAGGTTTCCAGTAATGAATATGGGTGTACAAGTCATCTGTATTAGCAGGGAGAAGGGGGTGGCTGCTACTGGGCGTCAGCAGGCAGTAGCAGGAGGCCGTACTGTGGTACTTAGGCCATTCTAAGCAGAAATGTGTTGTGGAGATAAATCCATGAATGTTTGAGAAGCAGCAGTACGTGAGATGATGTGCCCCGCAAATAACCCTGAAGAAATCAATGCTTTCCTTCAGAGCAAGGTGTGAATGTTGTTCAGTAAATAATGCATCACACCAGGCATTGAAAAAGGATGTGAAAAGTAAGTATTGAAGAGGTGTTCATTAAGTGTGCGCCGTCTCTCTGGCTCACTGCGCGAGGCAGGTGTTCCCTTGAAGTGGTCTGTAATTAAGGACTGCATCAGTAACAGGCAGATGAAGGAGAGGCTGTCTGCCTCCTCCTTTTGTGACTTTGGAACCTTAATGACATCCTTTGAAGATCGTGTATCAGTGTGTCTCTCCCCGTTCTGCTGCCTTAATTAAGTTTCTTGTGAGCTGGAAAACAGTGTCAAAGTGTTTCAAGCATTGTTTTCAACAGGGAAGTAGTGTTTTAGAAAATGTCATTTTAGGAATTAAAAGCCCCTTATTTTTTTCCATACCCTTCTCAATGGATTAAGAAATCCAGAGGGGGAAAAAGACATTTGCTGCTGAGATACATGTAAAATTCCAGTTCGCCTATAATTTCTGTTTAATGAGATTAAGGTAGGATTTTGGGAGGGAAATCCAGTTATCGTTGTTTAAATCTGATCTAATGAAGAGAACACACATTTTTGCAGATAGAAGGTCCATTCTTCTCTGCACACAGAATAGGGAACTGCGTGGTGAAGGAGTGTGTGAAAATTCTTCCTTTGAAGGAATCTCAACCCGTTTGTGTTCTAGTGTGATTTCCAGTGTCAGGATTTGAATGCAAATTATTTTCTTTTTCTCCTCAGGCAGTTTGCCATGCTACAGATATATATATGTATTTTTTTTTGTTGCATCTTCATAATAATACTTTTAACTCTTGCTTTTCTTTCCTTGTGCATCCACCACAGATCGCATTCAATTGGGTAAGACACATTCCTCTCCTTGAATAACGCCTCTGTATTTGGCAGGATGTGTTTGATGGAATGTAATGCACTAACCTCTTCCCTTTTAGCATCATTGAATACCATAAAAACATACGCTGCTTACACTGTAATGCCTCATTTTTACAGCATGGTGAGTATAAGGAGGAAAGGACTGGACTAAGGGGCTCGAGTGTGTTTGCCTTGCTCTTGAGTAGATTAGTCTCAAATTCAAATAACGAACACATTCAAAAGATGTTGCTCTCTGGAAAACCTATTTATACGTAATCCCATTCTCTCAACCATCTTCTTCTGTCAGAGGTTGGAACATAAACAACAAACACTCAGTAAAAATTCTGTTCAGCCAGTAGAGTTCTATAAAGATTGTATAAAGACTTAATTAACCTCCTCTTCAACAAAGCAAAAGTATCTTAGTTGTGAAGAGTGTATAAGGAGACTCGTTGGAAGCCTTGAGTCCTGGGGAAATTGCCAGTAGGTGGCCAAGTTCTTAATGTGATTAAAGGGGTCTGTGTATTTAGAGCTTGAATTTACGGATGCTGTAAAACACTTCAGTGTATGATGAATTATAAAACAATTTCAGGTGTGCTGAAAGGTTCTCTGAGTGGTGTGGCTTTACTTCAGCTCACCCAGCAGAGGGGCTGAGCAGCCCTGGATGCCCTGCAGCCCCTCTGGTCACCAGTGCACACACAGCTCCAGAACAGCGTTTCTGTTCAGCAGGTGACCCCTTGGTCGTGGCCTCTTCATTCACTGAGAAAACTTCAAAATGGGGCATGGATTGACCTTTCTATCTCACTCTGACATGAAACCAAATCGTAATGTATGGCAACCTTTGTCAGGAGGGCTCTCTGCCTCTGCACCAGTCACCATCACAGACATGTCTGTCTCTTAAAAAGCTTAATGTTTTTGGCTTCTAGTAAAAGAAAGAGGATGTTGTCCCTGTTCCTATAACTTGCCATCCTTACCTCTGCAAAGAAATTAAAAGATGAACTCAGTGAAATGTGCAGAGTATTCGGATTGTCTGTCACATGCCATCTCTCAGCTGTGCAAATTTAATTTGGCACAATGTAATCTTCTTACTTAGACCTTCCTATTTGGAATGTTTTGCTATTAGAAGAGGAGCAGCCAATGCTGTAATACTTCCAAATTCTTATTTTTGCCTATTTGTCATGTGTTACGAGACTAAAATGGCAAGCATGCTTGGTTAGTTTAACTGGGATTGTTAGAGATTTGCTGCACTTGTGAAATGTTTGGGCTAATCTTTTCTAAGTCTTAAAAATGATGTGAAAAATTGAACATGAAACATTTGCATTGTCTGCTGTCAGTTCTTGTCTATCTGAGCTTAGCAGAAGCCTTAAAATACACACAACAGCAAGCAGTTCATGTCAGATCTCTCTGTCCCACCTGCTTGCCAAATAGCTCGATCCTCCTCTCGCCCCCGTTTCTGAATCTTTAATCTGGAAAAAAAATATCTTGTGTGTGTGTGTGTGTGGACACAGTGCTGCTCTGAATTCGTATCGTTTAGCACACACACATATGTGTTCTTTATATCAGAGCTTTCATTTTTTAATGCTGTAATCATGCTTTGCTTGATGGCAGCCAAGTGTTGGTGTCCCTTCAAGTAAAGCTCTCGCTGTTCTCCATCAGGACAGGCTGCAGCTGGCGGTCAGTGCTGAACCCAATTTTTGAAACAGTACATAGTCTCAGTGCACCATTACTTATAATGTTATTGTAAGTAAGTATACATAAGTATATATATAAAAGTATACATTTTAATGTAGTTATAATGTCCTTATGGACAGTTCTTACAGTTCAAATACAGACTCATAGTCAGAAGGGGCGTGATGCTTCCCAGCCGCAGGGACGGGGTGACGCTATGAGGGCAGAGCTGGCTTTGGTGGCTTCCTCAGGTGGAAGGAAGAACGTGGCTAATGTAAGTCAAGCCGTTAGGGTGAGTGGCCACCTGCAGGGCTGAAGGTGCGCAGGAGGATCTGGGGATCTTTGAGGGATGCAGAGGCTCCATCCTCTGCTTGCCAACCTTCCAACGCTCTTGCTGCTGGGAAGTCTGAGGAGGGAAGTGCGGTGAGGAACGCTGGATGAGAGCTGTGGAAAACAGCTTCCTACTCTTGGTAGTGTTGAGGTGCGAAGGAAGAGATGAAATGTCCTAGAGGGATGGGGACAGCAACTGCTGCAGCTGAGAGAGCTGCCGTTCTGGTTGAAGAAAGCTCTCGCTAAGGCAGCCTGTTGTGCTGAACCTGTACAAACTGGGGGCCAGCACTGTCTGTTTGGGCTGTACACCTTGTACAGGCAACAGAGGCGGGCAATCGCCCGTTTACCTACTGCCTCCCACCAGCTCATAGTCCCAAACCTGAGGTGCACCCAACACGGAGCTGGTGTCTGTCACCACCGAGCACGGGGGAGGCTCTCTCTTCCTCTCCCCCATGTTGCACGTCTCTGTAGATGCCAGGCGTCCGTGTCATTGAGATGGACATTGCCAGGAACTGTCTCACATCACCCTTTTGAGCCCTCTTAAGTTGCTGATCAGTTGACATGAGAATGGGGTGGTGAGATCTTCACTGCTGGAAGTGAGCTGGAACCCACAGGTGACTTTGACAAGCCGTTGCCATCAGGAAAGTACCAGCACTCTTGAAAATATGTATGTTTTCTTAAAGTTAATTTTAAAAACTAAAAACGGTATGTTATAATAATGTTACAAACCAGATTTTACAGGTGTTTTTTTTTCCTTTTTCTCTCATCCCCCAGTTACTCCATTCGCCACTCCATAAGCATGCCTGCCATGAGGTAAGACGCTACCTGGATTCTCTTTGCTATGGGGATATTCAACAGTGTCACGAGGGGGGATTTTACCTACTTTGATCCTGATCCTGCAGTTTTTAGTTGGATGAGTAGTCCCACTTCAATCAATTAAGGTTATTCATGTAGATAAGGGCTGCCGGAGAGGCCATCTGTGGGTTTTTTTTCCTTTTAATTGTATTAACTGTTTAATCTCTTGTACAAGCCTTTGACTAAACGAAGCAGTTCTGAGAAGTATTTGGGTAGTTGATGATTGTTGGTATTACTAAATCTGAAATTCAGTTGTTTTGCTGTCTCTAGAACATCATCCAAAGCCCATTAACGTCACAGATGCTTTCTACTCCAGCAGGCTTTGGATCATTCTCCTGTGGAGGGATTTTATACGAGTGCTTTCATATTTTAATGGCTATAATCATGCTTTACTTGACTGCAGCCAAATATTGATGGCTGTTCAACTAAAGCTCCGACTGTTCTCAATAAAATTAGGATCTAGCTTTCTTTTTACCCCCTCAGCCTCTAAATATATTAATATCCCCACTTCTTGCCAAGCATGTGGAGAAAGCAAATCTAATATATGCTGGACACTAACTCATTCAGCTTCAGCAGGTGGACACTTTAAGGCAAGCATCCACCGGTGTGACCTATGGCTTAAACGTAGGTCATAAAACTCAAGTTTCTCTCTCCTTTTGACCCTTCTTGCAATATGAAAAGTTTGCCACCTGTTTAACAGAAATCAAAAGTAAACCTGCATTATTTTCCCAATTATTTCCAATTAGCATCTGTCCTTCCCTTAAGTTAGGGTCGGTTTGACTGGTGAGGGATGTGATGTAAATGGATGTGCAGAAATAGAGGCCACCATCGTGCTGCTGGTAAGTCCCCCCAGGATGTGCAAAGAGGATGAGTTGAACACCAGAGTTACAGCAGCTTTGGCTTCATGGCTTTGTGGAGTGAAGCCCAGGCTCCTGCAGGTTTGCCTTTCCCCGTGGACAGTACAGAGGTGTGGGTACCCTCCCTTATGGTGAAACATCACCGTTAGGTTTTATTTCATGTAGGAACAAATGGGTGTAGTGTCTGCAGTGCATCCTGTTGGCCTGTTGTCAGGAGGCACCCTGCCCTTCCAGTGGTTGTGGTTTCTGTCATCTCTTTCTGGCTGTACTGCTGGAGGGAGGGGACAGGCTTTTGGGGCTCACTCCAGCTCGCCTGCTTCTAGCAGGTCTTCCTGTGGGGAACCTGCTGCAAACAGGGGAGAAGAGACAACTAAGCAGCAACTTGAGCACAGATCTCTCTGGGGATCCGTACTCTAAAACGGCAGATGCATTATATTCCTAATATTATGTGGCAGATATTAGCGGTGTCAGTACGTTCTGTTTGCAGGAACAGATGTAAAAAATCGAATGCATTTAAAATGAGGGAAAAGCTATGTTTCAAGCTCTGGAGAAAGAAAGGAAGAACAAGGTTGTTAGGCAAGCCAGCAAACAAAATATGTGATTTGGTTTAAGAAGGAAAATCACAGCTGTTGCCTTTTTTTTTTTTTCACTTTAAAACAGCAGATGCATTATATTCCTAATATTATGTGGCAGATATTAGCGGTGTCAGTACGTTCTGTTTGCAGGAACAGATGTAAAAAATCGAATGCATTTAAAATGAGGGAAAAGCTATGTTTCAAGCTCTGGAGAAAGAAAGGAAGAACAAGGTTGTTAGGCAAGCCAGCAAACAAAATACGTGATTTGGTTTAAGAAGGAAAATCACAGCTGTTGCCTTTTTTTTTTTAATTCTTTTATGGTATGTTCAACCCGCGGTTTTCACAAAAAGAGCGTTGTGTTCTGTTCTAACAGGGAGTGAACAGCAGAGAGCAGCTTAGCTTTGTCAGAAGGAAAAGTGTCCCCAAAGTCTTTGTGACCTGCAGTCACAAAATCATGGAGTGTGGGAGGGCCAGGATTCCTGAAAAGTATTTGGGACCCGCTTCCTATGTAGTTCTAATCTCCTTCATCATAGCCTTAGGACATTACATTGTCATCTTTTTAATTATGTAAATTATGAACTTACTCATCAGCTGAAAAAAAAAATATGTTAATTTCTTTATAGCAACACCACAAATGGATAAAACCATAGAAATGCCACGCTACAGCCAGCGTTCCCTGGTGGTTCTTCTGAGCCCACGCTAAATGAATGAGGGCAGACAGGCCCCTCGCTGGGTTCAATTACTGGGCAGATTCTGCTTTTGCAAATTTGTAGCTAAAAAATACTCATGTGATTACTGTAATTGGATTTGACTGACAGAGCACAAGGGACTGTTCGTACCCTGCTCGTCTATCAGCCTGTGCTGCAGGGCTGCCTTTGCTCTCCCTGAGCACTGTGGCCTGGTAAGAACTGGTTAAATTGTGGAATTACTCCATTACTTTTGTAACTGACTCTTCTTCTTTCCTTCCACTTTCTCCTAGGAATTCTCCAACTTTCAAATCGTTTGAGGAGAAGGTTGAGACGACTGTCACAAGCCTTAAGGTAAAAGAGGCAGAGTTACTGGCTGTGGGTGTTAAAGTGTCACAGATAAGTTGTCCCTATAATTTGTACAGGAGTCCAATTGAATTTAGAATCACAGAATCATCTAGATCATCAAGTCCAACCATTAACCTAACACTGCAAAACAACCACTGAACTACGTCCCTCAGCACCGTATTTAAACGTGTCCAGGGATGGTGATTCAACCCTGGGCAGCCTGTTCCAAAAACAACCACTGAACTATGTCCCTCAGCACCGTATTTAAACATGTCCCAGGAATGGTGATTCAACCCTGGGCAGCCTGTTCCAATGCTGGTGACCCTTTCAGTGAAGAAATTTTTCCTAATATCCAATTTAAACTTGAGGCCGTTTCCTCTTGTCCCGTCACTTGTTACCTGGGAGAACTTTATTATAGCTTGATATTTCTTTTTATGTTTCTAAATAAGCGTGTCCATCCAAGAATGCAGGGTGGCTCTATCGTTTTCAGATGGAGTGTTCAGGTTCATTGACAACTTCAAGTCACGAAAGTGTAGGGTGATGTCATCTCCACTGCGCTGTGTCAGAGAAGGAACCCTCACGGTGGTTTCACAGGGGGGAGGCTGCACCCCAGGGAGGACTGGGAGCACCCCAAGCAGCTAGAACAGAGCACAGACCTCTGCAGCCCCAGCTCAGCGCCTCTCTCCACCTCCACAGTCGTTCCTCTCACCTTCCCTGCAGATGCTCTTCATGCTCAGCCTCGCTGGAGGAGGAATCACTGATGCATGGGGTGCACCAGCTCGGAAGGGCTGAACTCCTGCCTGCAGCAGTCGAGCGTGGCGCTTGCTTATCCCTTGGTGTTCCTTCTGCCCCTTTAGGTAACCAATAGATAGTTTCTGACCCTCAGCACAGCCCACGAGACTGCTTACAGAGCTCTACCTCGAGAGGGGGACTTTTAATACGAGTGACTCAAACTGTCAGAGCAAATATCAAGCCTACTACTGCCTTATTTTATTGAACTTTCAAGGTAGGCAAGCTCCTGTGGTAGCTAACGAAACAAAGGATTACATAGGATTAACCCTTTGGAAACTTACTTAGGATGCAAAGTTCATTTAATTAAAATAATCTTCCTAAGCATTCGGTGGCTGACAGGCTGGAAAAATGCCAGCTTGTCTTTTAAGTCCTGCTGCAGTTCTAGGATGGAGTAAAAACTTTTGCCCTATTTTCAGGCTTGAACCAACTTTCGAGTGTGTGTATCAGCAAGCCAGAGCACAAGAGAATGTTCACTTACCAAGACAGCTTAGTCAAAACAGCTCTGTCACTTTGTCTTGACCATTTCCAATCATTAGATAAAGCTCTGTCTCTAGAGCTTTACAGTTAGGAAAACTCTATGTCAGAGATTTAGTCGTATTGGGGTTTAGTTTTAATACTTACTTAGATTTTCAAATTCAGCAAACAAGCATTTTGAAAGCAGCTGACCTGTGAGCCCGTTGTCATGTGTTTCATTAATGGGATCTGCTCTCTTTTCCTGCCCTCCCCACAGGACAATGCCGTGGGCGGTTTTATATTCCAGTATCTAAGGCAGCTACACATACCTAAAGGGAGACAAGCTGCTGGGTTTGTTCTTTGGTTACTGGTTCTGTCCAAAATCCCGGGAGGGTTTATGCAGTTCAGGAGCAGCTGTGGTACCACTGCTGGCTGTTGGGCCCCTTTGCTCAGGAAATGAACTGGTTCATTGTCACCCATCTCTTATCCAGCATCTGTGGAACTGGAAAAAGCAGTGAGACCAGTGAGCTACTCACACAGAGAACTGCCCAAAGTTTACTGGTAGGATCTAGGATCCTGCCTGGGACCTACTCAGGGACTGGTCCCTTTAAGCACGTGATAAATGCCCCAGGCAGATTTTATGATTGCAGCCTAGAAGTTTAGAAACTGCTGGAGGAAAGGGGTTGCTTTATTTGACTGTTTTTATGGCTTTTGTTCTAAGAAAAACCCCAAGCCCCACCTGGTCTCTGCCTGCTTTGACAGTTCCCAGCCCTCCGTGGCCACGGGGTGGAATGCAAACGGGACTTGCTGTTGTGTTTGTCTTGTTTCAGACCAAGGTGGGTGGGACAAGCCACCCAGGGGGCAGTTTTGAAGAAGTCCTCAGCTCTGCAGCCCACGCCAGCGCTCAGAGCTCTCTGGCTGGCACCCGACTCCCCGAGAGTGAAGAAGAGCTTCAGTGTTAGAGCCCCAGGCCCTCCTGAGCCTCACCTCCCTCTCTTCAGAGACTGATGACCAGCCAGTGATTTTTAGACCTCCCTTCGCCACCCAACTTGTGCAACAAGGTTTGGTCAGCTTTGGAAAACGGCTTCCCTGGCTTTGTGCTGGGGAAATGCTTCCTATTTGTATTTTGTAACCACATACAAGCCATTGACTTACAATGCTCTAAATTCTATGTTAAGTGACCAAAATAGTTTTTGTTTTCCTGTAATTTCCCTCTAACAATCTCCCAGCCTCTGTTTCTTATTTCTTTTCCTTTACTGTTTTCCATCTCCCCTCTCAGTGCCACATCAGACAGATGGACCTAGAGCTGTGCAAAGGTTGCTGCTGCCAGCAGCAGCCCATGTACCAGCTGTCTACCAGCCACACCAGGTGCCCTTTGCTCAGGAGTCTCTGTACATGATCTATTTCCTAACGGAATTAAATCACTTACTGTCACACAAAGTTTTTTCTCCTTCACTGGCACAGTCTGGCATTGCCCTCCCCTCGTTAGCCAGCAGAGCTGAGGACAGGAAGAGACCCCCAGTTATTCATAGAGAAACTGAACCGCTCAGAGCTGCTGATTTAAGACCATCGTTGCAGCTGGAAAGGCTTCAGTTTAAAAATATTTTCCCTTGCTTGCTCGCTGTGGTTTGGTAAGAATTGACAGGAGAAGTTAATCACAAAAGAAAGCGGAGCGGAGGGAACCTCTAATAATTTTGCCTCCGTGTCTTCCCCTCAAACATAAGGGAAGGTAAATTTCTGAGCCTCAGTCAGGATACGGCCTTAAGTGAGAGAACACAAACCCCAGCAACTGGCTGAAGACGTGCCATAGGCCAGAGAGCCCCTGCCTTCAGGCCGCATTTCAGAGCTGCTGAAATATAAACCCTGTGATCCCACCACACACAGGATGGGTAGGTACTTACTTCACTTTGGCTCTCAGATTTTCTTGTGCTTCACTCCAGAACGTAACTCCACCAACCGCGTGGTATCTGCTCCATCACCAGGAGCCAGTCGTGGCTCAGCTTTGCTTCAGCATGTTTTCCTGCCGCCTTTTAACATTTTTTTTTTTAGTAAGAGCAGCAACTTGTGACACTCTCTTGCTGTCTAGTGAGCACGTGCCAGTCTGCATGCTGCAACACTGGGTTCACCAGACTGGGATGAGCGTAACTTTACTCACAGAAGTACAAACAAGATGGAAAACAGTCTGGCTACTTGCAAAATGGATGCTTTCTTTTTTTAAGCATAAGCCAAAGCTTCAAATCGGTGTTAGTGAATCAAAACGTTACAGACTGCTTAAAATCTTGTGAGGAAACTTGGCTTTAAGTGATTTTTTTTTTCCTGTGTGGCTTTTGTTATAGATTTTACAAAGTCAGAAGTCCTTTTGTAATGTTCTACTGGACATAAGTTAACTTTGGACATTTATATCAAATGTCTCTTTAGTGCAGTTTTTTTTAGCATGGAAGCAAACCTAATTCTTTAAGTAGTTTTCTTCTAATAGTTTGCTAGCTTATTTTATGTGGGTTTGTGCATAAATGTGAATTTATTTAAATAAAGTACTACTAGTCAACTTAGTTTGTGTAAATGAAGTTATTGATATTCTTATTGAAAATAAATTTCTCTCTTACTCTTTTACACTTTGTGATGTTTTCTTTCTTTTGCTACGTTACTGCAGAATATCAAGGTAAATGACTGCAGAATATCAAGGTAAATTGAACATAATCTGCCAACAAACAGATTAAACAAGAACATAATCCACCATTCCTACAGTTTTTAAACAGGAGGTATTTAAATCCATACATACCTAGAAGTCACAGAACAAGACTTACCTGTCCCAGTCAGTGCATCAAGTGAACCAATTAGCTAAATTTTAAACTTACCTGAATCTCCCCAGTGGAGAATCTATCTGTAACTGAGACTGCCACCAATCAGAGGCCAATGAAAAACTCCAAACAAACTCACTCTAAATATTTGGTCCTTAACACAACCTCTGACCTGGGAGGTAACTACCCTGCCTGCTCCTGGCCAAGTGGTGCTGGGATTCTCAGCACTGAACGCACAGCAAATAATCTGCTGGCAGAATTAGGGAAGTTATGGGAGGAAAAATAATGCACAGAATATAAAACAAAGTATTTATTATAGCTACGGCATTTAGGAACACCTCAGGAAGGTGGCTGAGATGTAGCAGCTATTTTTTTATTCCTTTCTGTGTTAATCAGAGATACAAGCTGGAGTATTTCTGGGTGAACAAACCTTCCTGCAAAACAAAAGAAAGGGAAAGTTAATTAGAAATTAACTCTCATTTTCCTGTGGTTGGTAGTGAAAGGTTAGCAATGATGTTGCTTTAGGCTCAAAATAAATTCCAAATTATTTTAAGAAAGAGAATACTGCCATTTTACTCCAACGAGGGAAGAGTGTATGAATAGCTACAGCTATTTTTCCCTAAAAACTTGTAAAAATATTTCATGCTCTATTAAGACACTTAAGAGTTGAAAAAAGAACGTGCTGTGACCAGGACAACCCCACGGTACGTATCCTGCTCCAGGGAACCATCCCCAGTTACTGAGTTCTGCCAGGAGGGCAAAAAGATGTCAATTAGGAGATTAAATATTTCACCTATGTTGATGTTGTCCTTTCCCCCCCCCACCCCCTTCTTCCCTAATCAAATTATTTCATTTTTCAGAGAGCTCATTATTTCCCTGAGGAGTCCCCAAAGTATAAAAGGGACTGTCAGGGGCTGTGTTTGGTGACTGCTGGTCCTCCCCCTGAGTCTGTCCCTCGTTTTTTCCCCAGGATAGGATGACTTGGAGTCACAGTCCTCTTCTGGCATTCAACTCTCTTTGCTAAAATAGTACAAACTATTATTTTACCTATTTTTCTTTTCCACTATCAGTTTATTTTAAAGGATGAAAAGCAGTGGATAGAAAAAAAAAAAAAAGTACAATTACACCTAAAACATTTCACTGAGCTGGTTCTCACACCTTGGGCAGGTCCCACAAGACCACAGCTCCCCTTGGGGGAACAAATTTTACATCACGGGTTCATGAAACGTTACCAAAGCAGAAAAAAGCTGCTGGCAGAGCATCAGCAAAGGCTGGAGCCTCCTTCATACCCTCCAACAGTATATAGGGAGATCCTTAAACACAAGCAAGTGTAATGAAAGCTGGGCCTCCCTCCAGGTAAAAAGTGATGTAAAGGAAACTTGGCATAAATGAAATTCAGGTTCAATACGTACAGATAAATTTAAGTCATTTTCACGCTGCACTAAGATTCCCCAGAAATATTTAGGGTACTTGAGCAACGAGTAAAATAACTAGTTCTCATTTGCTCTGAATGTCTATCAGAAAAAAAAAAAAAGGCAATTTCTGTATTTCATTTCAATTATGAAAAAAAAAAAAAAGTCCAAAATGTCATACCAGCCGTCGAATCGTAGAAATCCTGCAGTCTGCCAGGTGTGTTTTCCAACTCTTCGTACTCCAAAGCTTGCAGTATCATCTCACACTGATCCAACTGTTTCACAAACTTGGCTTCTGCAGTAGACTGGTTTTCATATTCCTGAACAGATTTGCAGTGATAAGAAAAGAAAATGTGTTGTTCTGAAACAGTATTGGAAGCTCTTTATGTATCTAGAATTTTCTTCATTAGTACAAGCCACTCCCTAAATATTCATGACCGTTATGTCTTTCACACTCTTTTTAAGACTGCTATTCAGGAAAACACTTGAAATAAGTACACGCTAAATTTCTTTTAAATGTAATAGGAGTTAAGAACACAATTCTTTTGCTATTCTAATTCTAAGCATAACAAATGTTTTGGTGGAATCAGGGATGATACGGAGACAACCCTACACGATATACATAGTTAAATAATAGGTTCCATTTTACAACATTTTATATATAAAGATCTTTTCAGGCCTGGCTACAGCTGTAAACTACCACAGTGTGTGCCTATGCATTACCAGTACCTATTTTTAAGACCTATTTTTGCACTTTTCTCCACCACTTGTGGTTTTTATCAGGAATTTTCTTTACATTTCTCCTGTCACTCCTCCTTAATCTCTTTGGTCTAATCTGTCTGAGCTGCTTATGTCTTTATGTCTCTCCCAGGAGATAGGGAGGGGAGTCGTTAAGGGGTCTCCTCCCCTCCAGACTTCAAGCCCTTTAATACCTTCGCTATCTTTTCCCTCTCTCCAGGCATAGTCGGTACGTATTTGGGAGCCACTCACATTCCTAGTCAACTGGAACAATTCTGCTGTTATTTCCTCCCCGTGGTGGCTGCAGACAGGTTTGCTATCTCATTTTCTCTTTTCCAAATCTACTGCACTGTAGTTGATGTCCCAAACGCAGGAAGAGTTTTTCCTACTAAAAAACATGGCACCTCCTTCTGCCTCTTAAAAAGACAACCGTGCGTGTGGGTGTCACTCGCGGTGACAAGAGCCTGGGTTGTAATTCCAGCACAGTGATGCTCAGGTAAGTGCCACGGTCACTTCCTTGTCTGACAGACTACTAGGAGGCTGTTTGTCCTTGTGCTTATTGCTTTACACCTGGCAGTCAGAAATCCAGATTTCGATAGCCACCACTGATTCGTATACGACTCTACTTGGATTTGAACAACGCTTTGAAACTTCAAAGTTTCCATTACATTTTCATCGTTATTTTAGTAATCAATTTCATTTCAGCATTTTTACCTTCTTGTCCTCCTTTCAGTCTTAGCTTTTCCCCATCTTTAAATTGTTTAAATACTACTTCTTATTTTCTTAAACGTACTTATTTCTACTTTTTTTTCTTTTTTGGCCACCAAAGAGAACAAACCGTTGGCAGCATCACAAACGAGACCCTCAGGAGAACTATGGCTGTTTGTTTGCTCGTAAAGGTCTGTCCCACCTCCAGCAATTAATTGGAAGTATCAATCAGTTACCAACCTCTCATTTTCTGCCTTTTTTCTTTTCTGCCTTTTTTTTTTTTTCCCTTTTAAGCAGCATGCAGTTAAGACTAGAGGGACTACACGCGAATATTAGATTTTTAGGTTCCACTGGCTGCTCTGCGGGTTACACTCACACTGCTGCACTGCAGGCTCAACGCCAATAAATTATCCGTAAGGTAGAAACAAAAAACAAATGATCAGAAGTGTCCACATGCTAAATTATGGTTAATGAGAATGATAACAAGCTAACATGCTGACTGCACACTGACCCAGCTCTTATACAATCAGAAGAGAAAACTGTGGCAAAGGAAAACAATATGCTAAAAAAAAAAAAAAAAAAAAAAAAAAAAAAAAA